AGCTCCGAGGTTACTCGACCTACCCGCGTTAAGGCGCAATGAGGTGAAGGGCACTTTGTCTTGCCAAAGTGGGATTCGTAACGCCCAAACATACTGACACGCCCCTATTTAAACTTTTCTTATCAGAGTGTGAATAAATGGTCGGCCGCATTTGACTGAATGAATAATGAAAGGCTTGGTATTAGGCGACATTAGAATTGATGGGTTGTTTAGTTCTTGGTTTAACGACTTGTTCTGTAGTTTCAGCAATAAGCTTACTAATTTCTTGTGTTACTATTCACTTATCCGAGAATCTTCTTACACATTTTCAATTTCCAGGGAAAAATTTCGGAGAGGTATCACTCACCAAAGCGACCTGGTCTGCTTAACCTTAGATGCCTTAATTTTTTTACTAAAAAGTACACCTCTAACATAGAGGATTCCAATCCTCTTTTGACAGCCTGTAGAACTTGTTGTTGAAAGGGTTATGTCATGCAAATAGCGGGCAAATAGGGTGGGTCACTTCTAGGTAAATATACAAACCAAAGTATGGCTGCACGACGATCGGATGAGTTTAAATTCTTCTCTCTTCGATAAATAAGAACACATGTTGCTACGGAGATCGAAATTAAATATTTCCTTAATGATTTGATGAAGCTAAAAATTTGTAAAACAGTGTGCCGGAGCAAATGATTGGAATTTTGCCACCGAAAAACCATACATTGTTGGATGTTCTTTGAGTACAGAAGCGAAGTTTTCCACAAAGGACTGTACAGTGTTTTGGATTGCGACCTTATTGAACTGCACCCATCCCAGAAGGCAGATGACATGAGGGCCACAATGTAAAGGAAAAACATCAAAACATCAATTGACAGTCTTAATTAGCTATATCGTGTCTCTTGACCTTTAAGATGTCACCTGACATAATTGTATATATTATGATTAGTGATAGATAGCTGTTACTCTCGAAACCCGATGAGGGTATCAAGAGAAGGACCATAAAATGGTTGAAATGCAAAGAGAAAATATTTTCCAATGTATAAGCAAATAGAGGTTGGTAATACTAAGGCTTTCAGGTGGTTAACTTTATAATTTTGGCATTAGATGGATAAGTTTATTCCAAATAAAGATGTAGCGTCCCGAGACTCCCTGAAGACGAAGGAAGGCACAATATTCGGGCAGAATATATATTCAGCGCAGAGAAGGTTTCTGGGCTATTGGCATGGCCCGGGGGGCCAGCCCACCTAGCGAGGTACGAGAGGGCTAATCCAAAGTACAAAAGTGGTGCCTCACCAATACCGAGGGATAAACCACTATCGTATTACAAAGAAGCCCTACTTAATAGAAAACACACTTTAGTACGTCTTAACTTCAATAAAATATTTGTTGCCCTCTAAGCTCTATACTTTCATCAGTAAAATTAAACTTGAGCACAAATGAGATTTTCTGCAAAAAATGCCTCTAAATTTGTCTCTTGGGGCGGGTTCTCTTAAGTGGGTTAATTTTTAATGCTCTTAATAAAGGTTTCGGCATTATTTAGCGATTTGTTTGAGAGTGCTTGCCCATCTATTCCACTAGACTTCGCGCTTTAGTAAGTAATCCTTGCAGAGTACAAAATTTCAAATTTGTTGCTTTTTGTGAAATCATTTTGCTCCCAAAACATCTTTCATACAATGTAATTAAAGAAAGGCTAATGAATCTAAAGCACTTAGTTCAAATTGCGGAGGGTAATTTACCAATGTGTGACAACTTGGCCTCCTGTACACTTGTTTCTTCTTCAACAAAAATGGTTAAAAAGTTCAGCTTTTATTTCCAAGTGCATCAGGACCCACACCAAATCACCGAAACAACTTTCCCTTGTTAGCGATATGTCATGCTTTTGCTCTCATTGTCAGGTGCGTTATCAGCCTAGTAATAGATGTTCCCCAACGAATGCTTGGCGTTTCCAACCCACTTCTCTGGGCCGGTTGAATTTTTAATGTCGATTATTAGGCATCAAGACGGTTGGGACATTTTCCAAACCCGAAGAAGATTGCCACTCATATATTTAAAACAGTTGTACCCACGAAAGTTCGCCCCTCTGCACAATAAAGTGTCTCAATATCTTTTGCGTGTAGAATCGAGACCGTAGCTCAAATGAATAACTCAAATACGCTAAGGGCATAGAGCATCTAACATATCCTAACTTAGATTAACCTGCTTTGATGCACCCCTTGCCCACTCATATCCCCTAAAATGACTAAAAAAATACTAGAATTGAAAAAAATGTCACAAATCGTTTAAACATCTAAAAAGTACGTTGTTCTTTTACTTTTCGGTATCCCACAAGTTATTTGCTTCGAGGTGTCCGCTTTTTTCAAGTGACCTGTGCTTTTTTCTCATTCCTTGTGATGGCTGTCATCACCACACAATGATTCGAGTTTCGCATTGCGTTTTTCCGACAATTCGGCTTCCAAATGTAATCATTTCCGTTTTTACTGCCCCTGGGCTTTCGAGTGGCTGAACGTTTACTTCCTCTCTCGCCTTCTCCTCCAGCACCGTGCTTGCGGGGGTTAAGGCGTCCTTCCCCCGGATTGGGGAAACCAATAACAAAGGTGACAGGAGGTCATGCGAAAAGAAGAAACTTGTGCCCATTCCTGCGCACAGTTAAAAAGAAAGGCTAACAGCTGATTATGAGAAAATTTTTTTGCAAAAAAATGTTAAAACTTTTCTTAAACAATGGCATTCAAACTAAGAAAGGACCTTGTAATACCTTAATGATGTTGAAGTAATTGAGTTTGTCTGTCAACCTAGGGTTACCGAGATGCAAGCCTCTGGTACATCTACAAAGGACAATAGTGCCCTTCTAATTTGCAGATTTTAGACAAATGGAAAGTGAAACCTTGATTAGTTCAGACAAACATTTAGGACATATGTAACTATCATCCAAGTAAATTTTTAAGGAGGTTGACTATGCCATGAAGACCTGCCGCACTTAAACTATTTTCCGAAAATTTAAAATGCGCTGAAGTGAGAAGGTGCCGGAAATCGTCAGCATTGAAGAAGTCGAATCGCTTGTCACCCCCAACACATCTTTTAAAAAATGATGTATTTGTTTTAAGCACTTTTAATCACTCTGGAACGCTCTGAGCCACAAATAAAACGTAAGAAATGACTGGTGAACATTTAGCATGAACGGAGTGCCAAACCATCAGGACGATAATCGAGGTCTTCAAAGAGTGCGGAACCAGCTCAATCAAACGCTCTTTTCTGCAATTCTGTTAATAATTGTAAGACTGCATGTTGATTTTGCCTCGTAAATAGTCCTTCAATGGAGATACTTGCCTCAACAGCAGTAGCTGTCATCTCTCAGAAGCGCAGAGGCTGACTTTCCAGCTTCTTCTTTTCAACATAAAGAGGTAATCAAACCTGTTCAGTGTTGAATAATAGGTAGATAACAGGTCTTTAACTGTAGAATTGGACAAAACAAAAGAAAGCATACTGATAGTTTATGATAAAAGGCATTTGGAAGTATCGAACGTGGTAAGTGGCATAAATGAAGGACGGAAATCAGTTTGTGAAAGTATGGGTAGACTTTAATGGTTTGATTTCGCAAAGGTAGTAAAATCTTAAAGATGGGTATATTTGCTTCAACGTGGTGACATCCACGGCGCATTCCAACCAATATCTGAGAAAACCGTATTTCTCTATGAATGAACTGCGCTGTAGGCCTTATTGGACTCAACGGTTATCGAAATGATATTTTGGGTCGAGTTACTCGAAAACACTTTGCTAGAAATGGATAAAAGCGATATTCCCTGGAATATTTTTCATTGTGCTAAGACGCCTTCGGATGTCCACAGCGGCCTTTTTCTCAAAGTTTGTATTCTTCAACTGTGAATTACCGGAAGCGGGTTTTTCTGTTTTGTGAATTCTATAAACTTGTAATAATTTTTAATTTTCAGATAAGGCACCTCCCCTGCAATTGAGTCGGGAGTACCGTGAGATTGCTACAGTTGCCCACTGCAAAGCATAACGGGTGCTGATCCTTATAAAGTGTCGTGGTCTAGGCCTCATTTACACAGAAAAAAACGCCAAAGCACCCAGAAATCCTAAGAAATTAGCCTTTGTTGACGTAATCCGGTGGTGAGGTCTATTGCGCTGATAGCTTCACACATTCAAATTCAAGACGCGTGATCACCCGGTTAAAGAACGGGCGAACGCACGCACTCAAGTACACACGCACGTTCGTGCAAACGAAACGTGTGTTCCAAATTTCTTTTGCTCTCTCTCTTTAAACAGGGTCAAAGCACGCACACACACCGGCATGTCCGCGTCCCCTCCCCGTTCACGAGCGCGCGAAGATGATTTACAGCCTCGTCTGTGTAGGTGTACGTGTGGGTGTGTGATGAGTGATGGCGTTGCGTCGTCTTGTGCGTGGTGCGGGGGGCCGAAGGAAAGGCTTAGTCATCGGGGTCCCGGGCACCGCACCTGTGGTCAGTTGGCCCCGCGTTCTTGCGATCGTCTTCTATCGCTTGCGTTGATGCAACATCACAATTGGAACAACTACTCTTGTTGGGTATTGCATCTTTTCCACTCGACAATCGCCAGTTCATGCATTGCTATGCTTTAGACATTCAAAATTCAGAATTAACTGGATATTCACATCTAGATCGTCGCAACCGCCTGAAAAATAAATCTTACTAGTGACTACGGTCTTATCTGGGCAGCTTGTTTTAAGGAAAGCTTAGATCAGCTATTTTCAGTAACACCGATTCCATCAAGTTACTATATCCATTATATCTTTTAGGATCAAATGGGGAATCACTCACCACAAATTTGTATCGATGTGCTAGCAAATAAGATACCATAAGGAGCGAAATTTCAAGAACTTTTAAACCCAACTCCACCCATGCTAGTTTCCTCTTTTCCTTGAAACTCGTGACAATACCAATACTACGAACTTGATACATAAGCTATTACTGAAAACTTGTAAAGTAGCATTTGTTAGTGACCCAAAAAAAGAACCGGCTCAGACGAGGTCAGTACGCACCCAAAATCACCTTATAAACAGGATATCGGTCCGTGCGGTTCAGCTCCTTATAATAGAAGACACGTTCCTGCAGAACTACAGATCCGGGTAAAGATAACGCATATTTAGCCCGACAAGGCGAGACGGGTCCAAGGGCATTTTACACAGATAGTGAAGACTAGTGGCATCAACAGACCATTGAGCAGAGCACGGAGGTTCGAAAACGGACCCAACGAACGATAACACCTCAGCCGAATTGTTGAGATAATCGCACAATTAACATTCCAAACCCTAAAAGTGCATATAAATCAGACGAACACAAGGGAGAAATGGAAACCCAGAAAAAAGGAACTAGGTCATACCTATGCTAACACTCCTACTCCACACATACGATTCACAACGGAGATCACGCAAGCTAGAGGCATATAAAGTGAAATCATAGCGCCGCTAGTCGTCTGGACTACTTTCAGCTCGAGAAGGACCAATGCGATCACAGAAAGTGAAAAACGCCACTCCATTTAAACCCGTAAATAAGTTGTTTCGAGCTCATCCTTTGGAGGATAAGTAATCACGAAGGGAAGACAGGTTATTTAACTACAACCCCCATTAACTCGAACCTACATACACATAAAATTGTATCTTCACCTAGAATCAACCCAAACCTACACATTTTAACCGAAAAAAGTGTGGAATAAACCAACACAAGCTTTTAAGGCTAGCTGCCTTCGAATAAGTGAAACTGAACTCGCACAGACCCTTAAAACGGCAATCCTAAGTGAAGCACATTCACGTAGGGAGCGACAAGTAAACACCACCCATGAGAAAGCATTTGTACGATATACAGCCAGTTTCAACTACGTATCACCGGCGATATGACTGCAGGAATAAGGAAGGGCATACAGGTCAAACAAGTGCATCGGAATAACTAGAGAAGACGAGTCTCACAACCACAAAGGGCCCATTTGTGGTGTACAACCTCGAGAGCTTCCCATTCCGCTTTGAAGGCCTTTTGAATGTCCGGCGGCTGTTGATGTGCAGTCATCATCTGTTCCTGAATGAGGAGAGGCTGGCCTGCGGCGCTGTCAGATCCCAGAACCAACTCATGTAGGCTTCGAAGCCCGAATATATTTAAGAAATACCACGAAGCCGAGCTCACCCTGCACCAGTAAGTAAAAGTATGAAGATACCGATTACCATGAAGCATCTAATGATACAAGTGTCTCGCAGCCGCGCTGCAACATTGGTTTAAAGCGGTATGTGAGAGGAAAGGGTACTTTCGTCGTGAGGAATCCAGAAAATGCCCAGTTTATCCACCCACCAATTACCAACATTGGTACGACATTTAACATGTTGCCCTTCATCATATCACTGAGCATTGAAGGATCTTACAGTCATTAAGAAAGGAAATCCTACCTGCCATTGGATTTTTAACAGCACTCTCTCGTTTTTGAGTCTTGAAAAATCCTGTTTCACTGTCATTGAAGAAATGCTTGCGCATTTTAAAGCCCTAAACAGATAGACCTCAAAAAAAGTAAACATTGCGAGTGATGTAGTTTCCGTTCTCCCTAAGAAGACGACTCCTTATTAGAGCATGGCTAAAAACTAGAGGTAGACAAGTATAGCCTCACCTATCAGACACTGCTTGGAGATCAGGTTTTTTATTGGAGACCATTAAGATCGTAAGATAGTGTCGAATTACTCCATAGAAAAAGTAATAATGACAATGGGAAGAAACACCCAGAACCTTATGGCAGAGTCCAAAATTAACTCGACCATGAGGACCCAACAGTGAGACCAGTGAATAAACCAACCGCGTAAAGCGAGTACTGAAACAAACATGGGCCAAAACTTTTCGAAATCGCAGGAAGAAATCAAAGCGTATTGACCGCTTGGCTAAAACACAAATGCAGCAGAAAGGTGTGTGCATGTCAACTATAGTGATTGAGGGTTATTAAAAGTGGCAACATCACTCGGTAAACACTTTACTTGTGAACAAATTAAAAAACTTATCTTTACATAAATTTTATGCACAGCAGATTGTATTAGTCTCCAAAAGTGTATAGATGTGGATTTTCCACAAAATTACTCAGATATATTCAATACTTTTAAACCAAGGGGTAGTCTTATGATGCAACACCAACATTATTTTTTGCGATCTCAAAGGACATTTTTCTTAATTTGTGTAGCAATACCGGGCTGGAACTGTAAAACTCATGTTGTTTTAATGTTTCTTTCGGGGAGGAGGCAATCAGGGAATTCGAATCTGGTGAGAAGGCCGTCACCTTCTGCGCCAAGTGATTGCCGTTCTTCCTTTTCTTAAACGCTGTACCTTTCTTCCTGCTCTTTCCCCCTTAATAAAGATGTCAAAACCAAACCAATTGGACTGTTCTAGGAGCACTAGGAACAGGGTAGAGGAGACCGGGGAGCCTCGCCGTGCAGAACTGCCTACGTGAAGCAGTGCCTAGTGTTGTCAACTTAAGATACAATCTCAGTTTAAATCATGACAGCATTGACACTGGAATAAATCTAGTCGCCTATTACTTTTTGATTTTTTAGCATGCTAAGGTATAAAATAACGCAAGTGATAAAAGTACAGATGCTGAAACGCGGTGGTGTGCCGTTGATTTACTTGTTTTAAGGCCCCAACTTGCTACAATTGTATGTAGGAACCCTCATGTGTCAAATAGGCTTAAGTCAAAAAATTTATTAGCCATAACATTTAATGGGATAATAAAACTTTCAAGCATGATTATCACTAACGATTTATCGAAATAAAATGCTAACGCAAATTAGTGAGTGAACAACTCACCGCGTGCAGAGCTGTTAAACTGTATCATAGTGGCGGAAAAAAGTAGTTAACGAAGATTACATGTAAACATGCTGCCTTATTTGGTGTGCAATATTAAAGTCACTGGATATGTTATATGGCCAATATATTTGTTTGAACCAGCTCTGTTTCGTATGTGTGAAAGAATTGGCTTGTGAGTAGTCCCTTTCGTGATCTTCGGGCATAGTTCGAGCCTTTGTGTTGTCGTAAGGCCGTGTAATCGCTGTTACTTGTTGGGAAGTAGGCTGGGTAATGTTCTCAGGTATCTGTTGTCTCTGATTCCACTCATTCGTTTGGGTAGTTCATGCGGTTAATGCCTTTTTTGCCGTCTTAGGCACCATCTGATGAAGTTATTTCTTTCATCTCCACGACTGCCTTCGAGGTTTGACATATTAACAGAACAATTAGAACCGCAAGGACGTGGCCACCCAAGCTTTTACGACAAGAAGAATTCATCACCCACGAATATATCCCGAATAATTGGTTTTCAGAAACCCAAACACTTGTGGATGGCTAAAGATCATTCGTTGGATATTCTTAATAATACATCAGCAACAGACAATGAGTATCCGCGTTTGTGTTCCGGGTCACGACTCAGTAATGAGTCGCGCCTCACTTCTGAGCATGTATTCGGTTCCCAAGTTGCGGAGTTGACTCCACTACGTAACAGTTATAATGGAATATCTCCATCTAATTCTAGCAGTGCTCCAGGAACAGTTGCAATGCCCTCTTCATTAACAAATACAAGCAGTAGTCCAAGCAATCATCCTTCTCCACAGAATAGGTTTGGAGTTAACAGTATGAGTGCTTCCCATTACGAAAGTCCGATTGGTTCTTATCCATACCAGGGATCATCTCTTTCAGCACATTGTATGGAGTCTTCTGAGGTGAAGCCAAAACGCAAACGAGGTCGACCACCAAAAACAAAGGCTGGTGACATAGATGCATCCACCTATTCAGTAAGCCGAAAGCGTCACTCGCGATCGGACTCAAAGGCTCAGGAAAGTTGTCCTGTGCCCCAGCCGAGCACCAGTTCGGCATTTTTAACAGGTGGATTAAAGATTCGTCTCCGCAGGGATGTTTCTGTCGACGAGCCGATCTGCGGTAAAAAGTTCCGATCACGTAAATCAAACCAGAAATCTGTTCAGGTTTTCCGAATAGTCGAGTCCTGGTGTGATGCTGACGCGCCCGGTGGACTCGCTGCCAAGTCAAATGCAGTCTCTCCTATGTCCACTAACCAAACCTCAGGAAGCTTTAGGGTTGGAGATGTGGTGTGGGCCAAGCTTGCCGGCTACCCGTACTGGCCTTCGAGGATCAGCGCGTTGTACGCGCGAACGCCTCATCAGCTGGCTCAAGTAAGCCCTGAAAATGCGAATAGTGACTCGCTTGCGGTGTCCGCAACCCCCGCAGACCCTGCCTTGGCTCCTGGTTTTACTGCAAAAGTAGAGTGGTTTGCTTGGAATCAGTGCTCTTATCTTAGCTGTGCGAAACTTTTTCCATTTATGGAATACTTCGCTAAGCTTTACAGCCCTCGAACTCGTGTAAAAAACTACGCAGAAGCGGTTAGTATGGCGAAGCTCGTTGTAGACGGTGGTTCAAATGAGACGCGACTAATATCGGAGCCACAAAGTGATGTCGAAAAGGAATCCTCTGCATCCCTGTCACTGTCAACGAACACCGAGCATGCGCGCTCCGACTTGTCCTGTCCTCCTGATCTCCATTTTGCTTTCGATCCCCTTAGTGAACCGAAACAGTCTGCTGTCTTATGTCTTCCTGATCGTCTGGCTTTTAATCCCACAAATCCTCAATTTCCTATCACCAATCAGGTCCCAGTGGAGAATGGCCATTTCCCGTTTTTGAATCTTGGAGCAAATTCGGGTGACTTCTGTCAGGTTCCGGAGCAATGTTGGGGTCCCCTACCGCAGTTGGATGTCAGTGGGCTAAATGAGTTCAATTCTGGCGTGCCGACATTCTCTGAAGACGAAGATGAGGCGAATGAGTCTTTGGCCAACCAACTCAATTCTGAGCTGGGTTCAATCGGAATGTGAGCGTTGATATCTAATCTGCATTGTATCTTCTAGAAAGCATACAATTTATTGGCAGCAGCCGTCGTTTGCTCCTGTAAATATGCGACTATTTTCCCACGAAAACACTAGGTGTTTGCTGTTTATCGGCATAGAGCGGTTAACTGGTGTCGTACTTTTGATGCGATAAAATGGATAAAAACGCAAGCTATGGCTCAAAAGCTCGTTATACTTCTTTTGTGTACATACCTATTGTAACTGTGGTACTCGACTCTACACTTTTCCCATCTTGTTCATTTTGAACATCATATCATCATGATCTTTACTTCACCTCATTCATGTTTAACACCCTTCGACCCTTTTAAACCCTCGCGTAATGACTTATCTTACTTGTTTGTATTCTTCCTTTTAAAATTCGAAGACCAGATTCAGTTGCGGGTTTTTTTTTTGGGGGGGGGGGTGTTTGTATTTGTTGTTGATCAGGGTACAGTGGGGGCGGGCAGGCTATTCTGACAATATGGGAATTTAGAGGATGGTGTTGACGTTGAGTGGTGGTCCGCTGCGAATTGTTTAGTCTTTTGGGGGTTGGTCCTTTAATGCACAGCACACTTGCCTCAAAGTAGGTGCTTCTTCAGGTTTGTTGGTGTCCTACGGTCGTACTTTTGCCTGGCGTTGAAATCGGGCTTTCTCGCGTATCACTTCAATGGGAATTCGAGGAATACACTTCTTAGTCCGAGTGGGGCAGTTTTCACTCTGTTTCTAAACTAAGCATATGGAGGAGTGGGGTCTTTATTTTTGAAAGTGCTGGTCGACACTTTCATGTATATGTGTTGTACTTTTAAAGTATCTCGTGTTGAACAAGAAATTTGATGCTGTTAGTCTGAATCTACTACTAGTGAAAGTGGAGATGGATCAGTGCTTTACCGCAGTGATATAGTGATGAATTCGTGGGCTTCTGCAAAAGCGGGATTCAATTTCCGTTGTGGGCGTCTTGCAGTAGGTAACACAATCCATGGATTTTCAAGGTTGATAGGTATCGCTATTCTGGTCAATTTTTGCAAAATTCCAGACGTAAGGATGGTGATATCTCACAGTGCCATCCTTTGAGAGCGCAATCACATGTGTCAGATAATTATATAGCTAACCTAGATTAGAGATGGGGACTTTCGTGAAGCAGGATCACCCTGCATTCCTGCATTTACTCAAGTGTTTGGTTGCCTTTCGTTCCTTGAGTTAGATTATCGTGCTTCTAACGATTTCCTAATCCGGCATGATTGGTAGCGAGGATCACAACAGCAGTGTCATGATGTTGGGTAGAGTGGAAAAGGGTACTGTCTAAGTGTTCCAGGTGATTTATTGACAAGCCATTACTATACTGAACTCAGGCGATCACTTTGTGGCGATCTAGAACTGGGACGATGCCACAGGTACAGGTGGCTGGGAGTCGCACTCATGTTTGTTTATTTATTCAAATGACAACATAGAATTTACCTACTTTTACACATGTTAAATTCTTAGTGCGTCAAGAAATCTATGTGGTTATATGAGACTTCGATGCAAATACCTAATGCTGAAGTATAGGGCTCGTAGTATCTGATTGAATGGTCCTTACAAATAACAACGTCAGTATTGGGCGCTGCTGTTGTGGGCTTATCAGAGAACCGGTTGAAGGAGAAGGCATGTCAGGTCACTTTGAAAATGATATGGTCTTGAGGTGCACGCTGTGTGACATGACTATAGTGAGGCAATCGCAAGATCAAAAAGGTCTGAATAAGTGTCATAGCTGCGTCTTCTTGTGAAAGCAGCAGTCGACACTAATACACGCTTTTGCACTTCTGAGAGTCAAGCATCGCCACCGCATTCATGCACCACCCAACTCGTCGCTCCCTTGCTCGACATTTTCATGACTCTATTTGTTTAAAGGAAGTTATGCCATTTTAAGCGACCTTGAGTAGTTGGTTTAAAATTAGGATTATTTGTGGTGGAATGAATGTGGTTAGGAGGCCTTACCTTCCGATCTCATGAGGTGAGTGATTTACGCCCATGGATGAAATAGGTGTCCAGCCGGTCAATCATGGTCCTCATAGACAATGGTTAAGTAAAACTGTGAATTTTCCCAACAGCCTCGGTGTAACACAATTTTAATGGTAATGGCGTTTACATAAATCACCTTTGCCCATCGATGCCACTACCGATAGATGTGGTAAGTCTCCAAATATGCGAATCCGTCCAGTTCCTTGTTCCTTACTCAATGGTGAATTTGTCAGTTTAAAGTAAAATCACTTCAAATCTGTTTATCTGAACCGATGATAAGCGTTACGCACCGAAAATGAACATTCACTGATCTCGTTGGTGTGTATAAAACAACTGGTATGAGGAGTTTGATTCATTATGAGTCGCCAGAACAGACTATCACTATAGAGTCGGACACCGCCAGTGGCGGTTTGTTCGGGTGTTCATACGATAAAGAGACTTATCACCCACACTTAGCCTAAGTCTTTTAGGGAAGAGCAATCCCTGGTTCCTAAAAGTAAAGTAAACCCATGTAAGAACTAGGTTTTGTTCCATTTGATTATATTTTAGGATTTGCTTTTTCAAAGGATAATCAACCAGTTTATTGAAAGGACCCTGGTAGTATATATTTAATGTAATTTAAAGTGTCAAGTGTTGAGATTGAGATTTGCTAAAAAGGTGGTGTTTGTGCATAATTATTAGCTTCCAAGAGTGACAGCACATCCAAAATTATTAAAAGTTATTTAGACATTAATGATTTCTGCTTTTACTGATTGTATTCCCACTCACGGTGACATTGTGATTATGAAATACGCCACACGATTCAATGACACTGATTCATTCCGCTAACATCTTTCTACCGGACGGGTCTTTCAGTAAAACTCAGTAGGATATATATTTATAGAATAATGAAGGTCGAGCTCAAACCTGCCAAAATATATTCAGCTCCTTTTAAATATGGCATGGAAACCATCCTGTACCCTATTGACTTACTTATTTGCACTCATTCGAATGCTGAGATCCTCCTTTGGTGTCTAGATCCAATTAATTTTGAGTTGTTTAAGATTTAAGCTTAAATTTTTGTGTTCAGATAATGTCAGCGAGGATGAGGTCAAGTGATTATGGACCACAAAATATGTGGTTAATATTGCATTGCACCAGCACCTATCCAACCGCGTAAACTGTTCTGATATGCTCACGGTGTATTTGGCACTATTTGTGTTTCGTTATCTAAGACCAGACCACTCATGTAACCATGGGGGCCCGTATTTCACGTGACAAATTCAGAATGCAAAAACATGACCTAACTTCACACAGCCTAGATATGCATCTATGGTTTCGTAAGGTCGAAAGCACGCATTTACCCACTTATGCCGGAAATATCAATGCATTTAGACATGTTACAGTAAAGAATTTCAAAGTCTTGCATTTAGAGGAGTCTTTCTGCATAAGCTTCTGATTTTAGTGCTTCCCTCCAAGCCTTATTTATCTCTCTGCCTGCGTTTTAAATTTTAACTAAGTCTTCAAAATATGTCAAGATTTGAATAAAGAAAATGACCTAATGCTTTACTTTACTGGTGAGTAGCGATTTGCCCATTGTTGTTAAGTTGGGGTGTACAGGCACACGAGAATTCGCCCCATGTTGCTTTAGCCCTGTCAAATGATATTTGACAAGTTGATAAACAGCGCGGGTCTGGTTTTTATTTTATGTGTACTTAATTACTTACAAGTAGCAAAACTGAATTCTAGAGATTATTTAAAATAATACTCGAGGTGTGATATTTTCGCACTATGTTGGTTAACACCTTATTCCACAGTAATACCAACAAATTGCAAATAACATTTACTGCACAAGCTTAGAAGTGACTTGCTCCCTAGTAAATTGCCGTGGTCAGTAAAACGATCTTTGATAAATTGTTAGTACCAGTAAATCTTGTTTTTCAATTTAGTCCAATGAAGATAGTCGAGACTCGGAAGTATATACCTGCCCTTTTTTATCCTGTATTAAAGAGCAGATATGAAAGGTTAAATGCACTTCCCACAATTTTGTAAATTGCTTTGTTGAACTGATTCTGAAACTAATGTATTTACAGTATAAAAATCCCAAAATCATCAATTTTCACGTACCTTCCCTAGGCCTAATTAGCTGACATGACAACCATAACCCATGTGACTGTAAGCTAGTTTCCTGAACTCCAAAGCGGCTTGAATTATCTTGATAGCTGAAAGTAAACAACCGTTTTACACAAGCAGAACGATTAAGGGTAATTTTGTTGTGCATTGTTCTCATATTTGTGGACGTTTCTAAATGCTGAGGTTTGCAAGTAACATAAGCAAATTTGCTTAAATCCTTTTTTACAGTGTATATGTTTTTGAGAAGTTGGCGTTAACAGGGAAACGATTCACCTTAAACTTGGACGTGTTGGAGATTTGAAGCAGATTTTAAAGAACGATTATTACAAATTAGCGGAGTGTTCGAACATCAATAGTTGCATAACCAAAGCACTTTCGTTTGATTGAAAATGTGGAAAAGATAAAAGGCAAGAAATTAAAAGGAAATTGCATTTGTTTACACAGCACTGATTTGAATTACCTAGGTTTGATTAATGTCTGCGTCAATCAAAACCAAGTCTTCTGTCAGTTTCAAAATAATGGGAAGAATGCTCAGTTGGATTTTAAACGGTAAACCTTTTCTAACTTGTCATTAAATTGCACAGAATTGGCCCCAAGCTGGAATAGTTGGTGCCGTAACCGGCACCGTTATTCTCGGTGTTTTCATTAACGGGTTGGTAGTTCCTGCTTTTCAGAGGCACCATGAAGTCAAACCCATCAATGTGACACTCACATGTCAGTTCATTGCTCCAGCAAAGGCCAAAAAGTGGTTTTAAATGCAAAACTATGAATGAACGAGTAGTCGAGTACAATTTTGAACAATTTAGTGCATCCACATCATAACTACCAGGAAAATTGGTACAATAGTCGCGTCCCCATCCGCCTACTTCACAAGCAAAAAGGGATAAAAATAGGTTCTTTTTGAAAATTTACCGACCTTGCGTTGAGAAAAATTGTAATCCATAGTGAGACAGGCTAGATGATAAGTGGCTAAACCAAATTATGATAAACTGAAGTCGCAATTAAAAAGGTCATCGTGGGTATTAACTTTCTGAAAATGGTTATTTTATCCTGTCCAGTCCATTTCCATGAATTGGAAAAGCCGTTTAATTGGTCAAATTTTTTATTGCTCCAATTTCCGTATGCGCAGGCGAAGAGTTTTATGCGAAACCGAATCGAGCGGGGTCGATACATAGAGGGACCCAGCAACGCCAATGACCTCGGAAATAAAGTTTTCACGCCGGCCTAGGTCGTGCGGTGTCAGTACCCACATACACACGTGCTCTTCCGTGCAATATGGACTGATTTTGCGGTAGAGATTAGCGTGCCCGGTCGATCAGACAAGCATTAGATCTAGGCCTGTGCAGAAGGTTAAGCTTGAAACTATAACGAAGCGGTAACAATAATATTAAATAATGAAGACCCCACTTGAGTCGATACACATCTATGTAAGAGGAGGACTGAATGCTTTAGTAACCATTTGCAGCTTACTTGCGCCACTTTACAGCTCAAACTTGTGACCAATGCAATAATATGCCACGTTTCCGAAGTGACTGCGAGAAGAACTACGGTGTTTCACGTGGAAGGGATTAATTTTATCACGACTAAAACTGTGAGCATAACTTACCACTTTGGTGTGATTTCTTAGGAGTGAAGCGAAAAATCATTTGGCATAATGGTGCTTCTGCTAGCTTCCTTTTAATTATCGCGTGCTCGATGTTGGCATGGCATGAGCAATAATTATCTCAAAATGAGTTGTTTGTTAAGACCATCGAGATTCACGCGAAAAAGTACTTTTAGTCTCATTACTATCAAAATAAAGATCTATTGGGAGAAGCCTGTTCTCATAGTATTACGGATAATAGTACTTTTAAAGCCATATTTAAGTTTCCCACCTTCAGGATTCAGACCATAACTAGACAGGCACATTTAGAAGAGGATCTTAGAAATGAATATTATTTTACTAAAAACAATTGGCATCGGCATGTATAAACAAACGTTGTGCCGTTTAATTGAAAGAGACTAATGGCAATCATTGTGTTTGTGCATAAAAACTGACATTTCCATCGAATGGGGGTATAAGGAATTTTCTTCCTATTGTACCCGAGTGGATAACTTTAAGGCGTAAATTGATTAGACTAGCCAAAACCGTTCGAACTGGAAAGATGAGTCAATCAGGGGTAACACGTGCAAATCCCACCATCAATGCTTCTCATAAATACCAGATATCCTTAACCAATAAAAGTGGTCCTTTTTGTTTTGAAGAGATTACATCCAGAAAAACACGTCAAAATACAGCTTCATAAGCATCCTAACCACTAGGTCAGTGTACGCGAATTGTGTTTTATCCAGTGACTTATGCACTAGTTTTACTTCTCCTGCTCATTCACATGAAGTATGAACAGCCTGCGGATTTGTCCTCCGCGTCCTTCAAGTACGAAGAACTAATTCAGTGTTTTTGGGCTACTCTACAATTTAGCATGCTGTTGGCTCCTAACGAACCCTTTTTCTGACGTCAAATAGACTTAAAAAAGGCACCAAGCACAAAAGACATTTAAATTTCCAAATCCAACAAGGCTCAATTTACACATTCCACAAGCACTAAAGCTATTTGAACGTAGAGGCAGCCAAGTGTTGAACTTAATAAGCTAAAAGGCTCATTTCAGAGTTTTTGAACTTAGTATACTGTGCCAGTGATTTGCGTCTAACATTTATCCAGGAGTAAAAACAGAGCCAATTAAGAGGATAGATGTGAGAATGAGCTTTAGAACAGTAAATTAAGTACTTGACAAATTTGCATTGATCCCCAGAACAAATTTATGTTATGGTGACACAGAAACGTCACTACAAGCGATCTTTTCGATAATGCGGAGTAGTTTAGGCTTTTGTCACTGTTTGAAATGAGGAAGCCCATCAATCAAAGTCGTACTGATTCGAATTTTCGCTAGCGCCAATTTAAAAGTACCCACCAGAAAAACTGGCGCTACCATAGACGAAAGCACAAACTGCGAGCTAGAATCTGGTAACCGAGTTGTCATAGAAGCGTGAATATCAGACCAGACACGACAATGCGTATCCCCTTACCATCGAAATAGTTATTTCCATTGACCTTTGATTTATTCGCTGATGCCTCTTCCCAGTATTTTAAGATAAAATATGCTGATTAATTAATTAAACTACAACTTAAGCCTTCGGTTTTCCACACAGTTTCTTAAAATAATTTTATAACCGAATGCAACTTATGAGTTCGAACGCTATCATTGGAGCACCAAATTAGCGGAAATTTTTGTGAATTCTCTGTTCTATTTTGTAAGAGACAGTGATTCTTTAAACATTGACATTATTTTAGCCGGTTGAAACACATTGTTTAGTTCTTCCAGGTTAAATTTCCGTGTGCGCAACCCTTACTTGCATTATTCGTATGTCTGGCACAGCCAACGCCCTACCGCCAGCCAATCACCGACTGCCAGTAAGCACCAATCAGAAGCGAGCATTGTGCCCCTCGCCGTTAGCGTCGCCGTGAAATGGTGCTATTCAACACCGCGGTTCAGTGATGCGTGCTATGGAGCGGTGAAGGTACTCCATAAATCCTCTTCGATCAATTCAATCCCCAATCACACATGCCTAACAGTGGAATTATACAGGACTTGGATGATTGGTTGCTAAAGCTCGACAATCTACAAAGGGTACTATTTGATTTGGTTAATTGCTTAAAATCTCTCGATCAGCAGTGCTTTTAATCGCATTTTCCAGCACTTAAATGATTAATCTTTTTATTAAGTTATGAAACTTCCTAATGGCTATTTCAGTCATTTAGTACTCATGCATACAATGCTTTTAGGCTTCGGCATAACTTACCCATTCTATAGGTAAAATTCGTCTGAAAGTGAACTACAAATTCTTTAAACTCCTCTTTGAAAAGTAACCTGGCTAAAATGAAGTGTTTTGATGGGCAATATCCGCATATGTTCTTCTTGAAGCTTATGCTACGCTGATACAGCTGACAAATGGGAGGAGAGGAGAATGTTTTATTATTGCAAAACTGAGAATTTCAGTTCTTGTAACGATGCTCTCAGCAATTTACTAAATCCCTAATTTTAAGTTCCGGTAAGATTAAATTATAACGTATGAGAAGTGTATCATGGTGCGTGCTACTCATCTTATCTACAAATCTTAACCCAGACTGTAACTAATTGAGCGGGTGACAACTGCAAGTGCTTCCACCAATTGAGCCTCCAACCGTTTCCTGAGATGTGAGTCAATGATCTGCCAATACTGTTGAGTGGAGTATGGTAAACGAATTTCCAACTTAAACTTGAGCCTGCACATTCTTCGGGGCTAATGTCGTCGCGTAAAAGTACAATGCAATTACACAGGAAAATCAGTCGAATTGCATTTTAAGAATGACAAAGATTAGATTCTTTCTCGTAGAGCAGTTAAATGTGCAACTTTGAAAGCCCTGCCAGGTGGATTCTGTGACTTTTGTGTCTCCATGGAACTGTACTGTACAATACTTGTCTCGTTCCCACGATTTCACTATCAGTTTACCTTTCATTCATTTGATCGGCAGAAGTACCTCATTATTAGCGGAAGTTTATGAACTGACAGCAACTGAAAGGGCATCCCTTCACATAAAATGTTTAAATTTGTATTAAAAAAGGATTACTTTTAATGGAGATCTGTTTGAAAACAATTGCTGAGAAGACATCAACTAGAGGAAAAAGCATAGCATAAAGTAATATCAGTATGAAGTTATTCGTTAACACTATCAAGGCGACACACCGAATAAAGAAGGTCCCCATTGAATAAAATATTTCATTCAATCAATCAAATGAATTTGAACAAAAATATTTCATTGAATAAGTTTCATAAACGCACATTTAAACGTCACTGCCTCTTATAAGTTTGAAAAAAAGCATTTACCCATCGGTGAGGTGCTAGGAGGATCTGAGGTATGTTTTATGCTTCGCAGAACAGTATGTGCTTTACTTCTTGTAGGCACTAAAATCTTGTTCCACAAACCAACCGCGTCGATTGCAATTACCGCTTGCTCCTACTCGTGAGAAACAAGACGATTTATACTACCGACCCTTAAGAACAGATCAAACCGATAAGGCACTACAAGCAACCCAGCTCCAATCCCCTCCATCGACTTCGCCCCAGCGTCAGGACCCTCCACCATCCGTCCGCAGGGTGTTCTCCAGCGCCGATCCCCAGCAGAGGGAATTTGATCCGTCCTCTCCTGTGCACCATTACTTCCCTGGTGAGCAGTTCCCCACGCCCAACCGGAGTGATGGAGAATACCTGGCCGAGCAGAATGGAGTCCAAACGCTGTCGCAGCCACAACACCAACCAAAATCGAAAACTGTTAGGTGGTCCTCGGAACCAGGTAAAGGTACCCATTAATGATTACCATTGCGTTATGGAGACTGTTTGTTAGATATGGTGTATTATAGATAGTGAATTCATAAAAAAGTTAATTCATTTATAAGTATGTGTAAGGCGAGCAACTTCTCTTCACGATTGTTAATATAGGCAAAGTGTATGACGTAATGTTTGGGTAAAAACAAGATTCAAAGGTAGCCATCAGGTGTCACTTTGTCCGCAGTACTCAGGAATGGCTGAAAGTACTGCTTTTGAAAGCAGTAGCAATGGCGCCTTCTTATTTGCCTACATAGGCTGTTTTGTGCGTGACTGAGTTCTATCGAGTAATATCGCTAAAAAACCACGCTTTTTCGGCTTGCAAAAGCACAGTCGAAGTGAATAATTCCCCCTTTCTTTGTAAATACGGTTTTGTAGTGAATTACGAAAAATACTTTTTATCTAAGAACCATTAAGTAAACAAGGCTTTTGACTTTTAAAATCCACTTGCGTTTCCCCCACGATGAACGCAAAAGCGTTTGCCTTGACAATGACAATAGGAGCGACTCAAATGGATTTTGGTGTTAAAAAAAACCTACTGCTTCACATTTTAACCATCTGTATTGTAGGCTTAGAGATTCCCATGAATGCCTTTTTAGCGCCTCACCGTCCAAATGGAATGCAAAGGCTCGTCAGCAACTTGGACAGTGTTGAAGCTGATCTTGTCAACGCTGCGTCGGGATGCTCGGTAAGCATAATCTTTCGGTGATGCCACTCATAATAACAATAGTAATAATAACAGAAGTAGAGTGCTACTTATTTTCACATCACTGGGCGAATTAGCATAGTAGATCCTATTTTATAAAACGAAATTTATGTGATTTGCATGAGGTGGAAATGTTAACTTATACTATGTGAGCAAACAAAGTTGTCAAAATTTTAGCCTGAGATGGACGAGTTAAGCGTCGAGAGGATGAAAAGTCGGATATGCGAACAGCTAATTGAAAATTAAAAGCATGACCAAGAAAAGATTCCGCCTTCCTTCTAAGAGCAGTGCGTGTGCTAAAGAAAGGCGGATTCTGTGAGCTGATTAAGATGAAAATGTAAACTTTCCTTAAAAGCTCGCGAAATACTTAGTCCTTCCGTCACACCATTGACTAGGTGGTGCTTCCTATCTGGATACTTAAAATGCGGTCTTGCGATGAGAACAATAAAACGAAGACATTCCCAAGAATTGCAAGTGACAATTAAAGGTGTGTGGTTGCAAAAGAGGGTAGTAATTGTTCAAATCAATGCTTATTTCATGGAAGCGTTTAAAATGTTGCTGCGAGTAGCACTTTTTGAGTAGCGAATCACTCGAGTCTATTCAACGTCTTTGAAAAGGCTTAAAGGAGGAAAACCTATTAACGTGTTGCATCAAAGTAGATGCCGTATGCAGAACTTTCACTTTTATTCCATCACTTCAGAGTGTGAGCAATGTTTATACTGAATGTGGCAAGAATAGATGGCATTGTGAAATATTGAATCTTCGATCGCTTTAGTGGTTCCCCTCCCATTTTGTCGAATGATTCATGAAGCCAAGAAATTTCACAATCTCAGCATTTATCTCCAGTAGACTCAAATCTTTCTAATCCGAGTCACTTTGCTCCAAACAGCATAATCACTGCGAAAACTAGAGAAAACTATAATTACATAATTCTCGTTCTGGTCGTCATTCTCACCACTTAAAAGAAAGGTAGTGTTATAGTCTTAACTTTTGTAAATAAAATTCAAGCAAATGAGGGGTACCACGGATAATAAACTCCACACAGGAGGTCTTTTTTTCATGTTTCTAAAAGAGGAATGACAAGTTCTTAAATGACTCTAAGTGGCTTTTATGGGGATGGCCTATGTCTTTCCAGCCACCTCCTGCCCAGTGACTCGAGAAGCACTTATAATAATAATAGCAACTTGAGAAAGAAATGCTCCATAAGCAGCAAAAAAATTATTGCTTATATGTGAAGAATTAAGTTTAGGTAGTCTATTAAAATATTTCAAACTTGGTTTTGTGACTGCTTGGTGACGAGGTGTTAAGGATTATCTTCTGCACACCTTCTTAAACAAACTTTGTTAAATAAGTTACATTGTTAACCATGTTCTCTCGCTTACTTACTCTCGAATGATAGTTGTGGTAGCCCGTAATGCTTTACCTAGACCACTGATTTCTTAAACTTACTAGCCCGATCGTAGTCAACGGGGTTTGAATCCCTCGGATATTCCTGAGATACCTCCACCTCCCGCCTTCACCAACGGCAATAACCACGGGGGAGATTGCTTACCACATTCACAGGCGATACCAGATCAGATTTCCAGAGTGCCGAAAAGACAACAATTTTCGTCACCGATAATGCGGTATTCTCCAGTTCCGCCAATTCAAAATGGGACCCCACCCACAGAACGGAGTTCGTTGCAATCGCAAGAGAATTACAACACCTTCACAAGGGAGAAGTCGCCCCAGGCCCACAACTGGGTGGGGAATCTGAACTTTTGGAGGAGTCTTCAGAACAGAGACGGCATTGACTCTTTGAGTCTGCGGAATCAAAGGGAGAAGGAAGATGACAAGAAGGTACAGCAGCGTTTTGCATTTAAAACTATCCAAAAAACTTTTCTTATCAACTTTACCTGCGATGAATGATTGATTACTGTTTAGTCGGGGGGGGGGGGAACTAAGTAAAGGAAACTTCAGAATTAGAAAAAGGAAATTCCCATATGAATACAACATACCAAGGTGCACAAAGCCTAGCTGTTTAAGTGTTACTTGAACATAATGCTAAACTGTACTTAATTTTTGTAATCATGAAGTCGAAAATAGTTTGAAAAGTGATTTTGGCACTACAAGTAATGAAAGAATCATTTTGTAGCTCTCATAACTAAGATTTGGTCCTTTCACTAAATCTTTTGCCTTTTATCTAGACTTCAGGTTCAAAAAACGATTTTGTTGAAAATTTATGCAAATTTAATGCAAATTTTTAACCCCTGACACTCTCCGATTAACGTAGAAATAGGTTAAATGCGAGCCTTAGTACTGGGCCACGTTATCCTACCTGGTTCAAAGCGTATGCCATATGCTGTTCAAGAACGGTGGGATTTGAATAGCAAGATTAGTCAGACGATGGCACAACTCCATTGGATTCTATCGAAATGACCTTTTCACAAGCAAAGTCCTTAGTAATCCAAGCAACACTGCTTGTCAGGGGATTTATCAGGAAATGGAAACTCATCTAATGATAAACCCAAGTAGATTAGGCTGATCATTTTTAAGCCCACTTTGATTTTTCTGCTTTACTTTTCGCTTTCAATGTTAAGCAAAGGTGATTTTTATAAGTTATAGTAAATTAGGATGGCATTACATAACTAAGATTTGATAAGTTTTGAAGCATCTCATTTAACTGCAGGTTTAGAAAAACCTGCAACCTGAATGACCGTGTAAAATAAGTCGAAATTTTAAGCCTCTCAAAGAAAAGTCAAATATTTTAATCCTTAATTTTCTACTTTTTGAGCGTTTACTATTTCCAGTCCCTGCTGTACTTGGTTTGGGAGTTTTATCGTAAGATATGTGCCATTAATCGTTCTATAGAATTTGTATTAATTATGAAGCAATGCTCTTCCTTTAAATCCCCTTACATAATTAATGCCAGCATTATTATCAGATCCCTTTGTACCTGTTCATTGAGCTTGTTTTATATGGAAAATTGGTTGAATTCATATTTTGGGTGTAGTAAACACCTTAAAAAAGAGATGGATGCTAGTTCAATGTAATGTTTTAGAACAATTTTTAAAATTTTGAGAGCACTTGTTGATTTTCATGATAGTTTATCAATGGTGGTTTTAAATATGTATCATAGAATGCGTAACAGGAAATAAAGCATAATTTGGTAAATGTAGGAATCGGCGTTATGCAGGATATACCGCACTTAGGTTAATATAAACAAAAGACCGAAATTAATAACAACTTTATTAATACTGAAAGTGCCGTAATTAGGATATCTTTAACAATAAGATAATACCTTAGGGAATTGGGTGTACTCTAAAGCACCGCATTCCCAAACAGGGGTACTTCAACCTTAACACCTCCCGCGAACAGAAGTAGGCACGTTTGCTGCTCTGATGTTTCATTATTTACTTAAGTTTGGTTGTGGTTTATAGCGGTAACTGCACAAAATATAAAATTGCATTCTACTTTTCCTTTTACTATCATAAGATTCAAAAATCACCAAAACTACTTTCTTTAGAGGTAAACGTTAAACCACAAGTGGTGTCTAGTTGGGGTGACCACGCTTCAGGAAGCATGACATTTGTCACAGATGCATATTCACAACTTTCTGAGTACTTCACATAGGCTTTGCTGTAATGACAATATACAAATTTTTGCACTCTGCTAGCAGTTGCAAATAGTCAATGCTCATTTGCATTGAACATGGAGTCAATGCTGTATACACTGCTTTTGTTGCGGAACATCCTATTAGCTAGTGTGAGTGATTACGCCACAGTTTATCATTTTGTTAAAATATGTGCAAAATGTCTTAAATTTCTATTCTTTGACTCCAATAAATCATCAAATATGACTGATATTTGAGATGGAATTGGTGATCAAGCACCAAAATTTTGAACCTAGTAATTAGGCTAGTCATTGGTGGCAATGAGTAAACTCTACATTGCCTGAATTTGGTCAACATCTCTCTTGATTCAACAAGCAAAAGAATGTCGGAGGTGCTTGTTTTAAAATGTAGTAAATGCTTATTTGTAGGTTATACTACGGGTGCACCAACCTGACCGAACCACGAAGGCGATATACGTGCAGTCGCGGACTGATGCCGGCGAGGTAGTTCTCATGCTTGCGGCCAAAAACTTTCTTCCTCTCAGCACAAAAATGGCTCTCGTTGAGAAGGTTCCTTCCATGAAGCTTGGTGAGCTTCAAGCTCCAATAATTTTGCATTCTATGATTGCTGTATAACGCAAACATCTTGTCCAAAAAGGAAATTGTAACAATTAAAGGACAGCTAAAGTCTTTTAGTGTTTTTCAATGCTGGAAATTAAAAGAAAACGGAAAACTACTATGAAAGATGGAAAATCATGGCATTTTGCTCCTGAAGATGGTACTTCACATTGATACCTAAGTTCTCAATCTTACAATTCCTTAACTAATCATATTGTATGACTTCATTTTTGAAGAGGGATTTTGGTATCAATGCAGGAGGGACGATAAATTTATTACATGATCATATATTGCATAAAACAACCCATCCTTTAATTTAGGCTGGCCGAAAACGATTTTTTCTCTCTCCCTTTAACTATGGTGAGGGGCTGGAAAAGCCATGTAGGATTGTTTATTTAGTCTGACTTCCGTTTCAGAACAATTCTATTGGTAGAAAATCTTATTACTGTCAATTAGATGACTAAATGTATAAGCATGGCAGGAATTATCCTTATGTCAGTCTGTTTACTGCTGCTAAGTTTGTATTAGAATTTGATAGAAAGGTTTAAAATCGAGTTGCATACTTAATGGTAGGTTGCAAAAACAGGCTACTACCTCTTGATTAACAATTTTCATACCATTGTGGCGAATATCAGCGTTTGATGGTACGTAAGTGTTTGAAAATAAAGATATCACTAGTGCAAGGTTAATCAAGTCAATTGCTGACTTCTTTGGTCTATTCAGAGAGGTGCTTTGAGGATGATGAGCCTGTGCGAGATTGTATTCTCAGTTGGCCTGTCAACAGCGAAAACCTTATTTTCTTTGAGGAGCGTCAAGACCTCTTCGGCTTATTCGAGGACCCGCAGGTATTTCGATTTCTGTCAATTAAAAGCAGAGGACAAATGATTAACTCGTTACCAGTGCATTAAACACTAGCATATATAATGTTAAGGAAGGCTGTAAACAGGGTGAATGCTAAGTTAAAGACTCAATAGTTAATGCACCTCATTGAATCTTGTTAACTACAAAAAACGTATGAACTGGACATACACTTATGGGAATGTTTTTTTGGAAGCGCAAGCTCAATTTGGTACCTCCCATACTTTCTGCAAAATAACTTTAGATAAAGTGGAATAGGACTATTTTTGTATAGACAACCATTGTTTGAGAATTTTGACGAAAAATTCCCTATTTGATGGGGTAAAGTCTGCATGTGCTGACGAAAGTTGACCTAAAACTCTTTCATGTGCTCTATTAGCTATTTTATTTGTTCCGTAATGAAGACTTGGCTTGGAAATACGCTGGTGGGGGAATCCGCGCAAATGAAAAATTCGCTTCTGATAGTGAGTTGTATTTCCTCAAGTGTTGGACACTCTTAATGCAGACATTCCCAAAAGAAGTGTGGAATACTAGAAGTCCCTATCCATTGATATTTACTCGGCTATTTTCAATGGAGCCTGGTGCAATATTTTGAAGTATCCTGAAAATACAAGCTTTAGCAATAGCTCTCCCGCACATTAATGCAGGCGACCATTCCAGGCGGTGCAGGTGATTTAAAAATAGTTCTACTTATGTGCAAATGTAAATCACTTTTAGAATATTTTCGAATTTGATCAGACTAAACGAAGAGGTTCGCACCCTATTTTTTGTAACGATCACATATCATTAGACTGGTTTCTAGAATAAGTGACCTTCCTCTTGTTTTATTTAGGATATCCTTGAGAAGGATGGTGCGAACCGACTTCCACCCTTCAAGGACTACTTGTACATTTTACAACCAAACAACAAATGGAAACGGCGGTACTGCGTTCTTCGTAGTTCCGGTCTATACGCTTCTAAAAAACAGGGTTCTGATGTAAGCGAATCGCTCTCTCTTTCTGCTATTCACATAAAATTACCTCTTATTTTTGTACCAAAACTAGGGTCATTTATGCCTCGTTACCGGTAATAATGAACAAGTTATTTTTTGGCCATTCTTAAGATCAACGAGCTTTTATAGCATCAGTACTGTACGGAAAAAATAAATTTCCCTGAAAGAAAACAGCTTTCAAAATAGGTTACTCGGTAAACACTTCAATAAATTTAGTTTTAAACAATAACATACAAGAAGTTGAAAATAGGTAAACAGATCTTTCAACTGGTCCCTTATCATACGAATACCGCTTTGCACAGATCGCGGTGAGATTCGTCATTGCGTATTTTAATTTAACAGATGGTAGCATTTTCGTTAAATAAAGTACGCGTGAATTCAAAATGACCAGGCGACTTAGTGAACAGGAATAAGTCCTCCCGAACGCTTTGGTATTGCACAACTTTAATAAGGAATTATTGTCGTCCAAACGCATCAGCCACGTTTTCGTTTGAAGCTTAAACGCTCAAAGAAGCACATCTATGGGAAGTATGCATTTTAAGTTACTAGCAAGGGCAATTTCACAAGTATTACTTTAATTACCCTCGAATGGACCATATTGGGACATTAGGACAGCAATGGCTTTTTCGTTTTACCGTATGCGCCTGAACCGCAAACAGCACAAGAAAAGCATATTTTCGACAGCAATTGATCCTGGGAATGCTGAGGTAACGGCAACACTGAACCCGCTATTACGGGAATTCCCATTAACTGACAAGCCATTCTAGGAAAAAATCAATCCAGGTGAACCTAATCAACATTTTTATTATAGATTTCAGAACTGGTAAGGGTCACAGCTTTTGGAGAGCACTTGCATCTCTACACTACAAGTGGTGGTTGGCGCAAGGCCAACGCACCGACACCCTACGGATTCGTCCTCAAGGTAGGAACGCCATGAGGCGCGTGTTTTTCAAAAGCCATCGTGATTTTGGAGTCTTGCATGGGCCATGTTTATACGTAAACAGCATTGCAGCTTTTCAACCCAGACTATTACTCAAAAGCAGAGTTATTGCTGGCTTGTTTTGGAAAAAGCACAAAATCTGCATGTTTTTAGGTGCTCTTTATTTTCTCATGTTAATGTTAGAGCGCGAAACGCGTTTATGCACCCCTTTGGTCGTCTGATCTGCATAAGACCGCCTCTGTGACGTGGGCAGCTTTTCGAAGCATCTCTGTGTAGGTGTACACGATCACTCGCTCCCGTTCAGTGTTTTTGCATATCAAGCAACTGCACAGCGGTAACAGCAGTGGCGCCACTGAGCCACATGCGTTAACAATGGCGATCGGAGCCCATTACCCTTTTGACAATATTAAATGCGCGCCTGTTCACCTATGCCAGCAGTAGGAAACCGCTATAAAGTGCGACGGACTTCGTAATAAATGTTGAAATACTAGGGCAAAAATGCAGTAATCGAATGACGTCCATTTCCTACTATTCACTGAATTCAATGCTGTTATTGAAAATAAAATAACTTATCAATCGCGATGGCCAAGAATCCGGTTCTATTTGTGCCCATTTTTTCATCATCCATAGTAGAGTAACGACATTTTTCAACAGTTAATGCCATGATCAACTCATTTATAAACATTTATTGCCGGGATTGTTAGTTGAATTTAAACTTTTAAATCTAAAAATGTAGGCCAACTTATGGGTAATCTCGGACAAGTGACATTCGGTTCTCACAAAACCTCTCACGCAGTGGCATGGGTGAAATGTCATATAAAAGCTATTTATACCCATCTTTAACGAGTTGGATAAAGTCTACCTGAATGTACTTTTCTTCATTTCAAAAAAAACTTTCAACAGAAGACCTATAGGAACTTCAGGTAAACGTACCATGCGACAAGGGGGAGTGATATTTCAGCCACAGGATGCTCAGATTGTTTGAAGTTTAAGGTTTATGCAAGGTGGAGAAAATGTATTAGACGTGTAGCAACTATAATAAAAAGTAATGGCCACAATTTCTATACAGGTAGGCTTTCGACGATAATTTGAAATTCACGATATTCTATGGTTACTTTTGAAAATTTTACGCTTATCTCTGTTAATAAATCATCCAACATAAATAATTAGGTCAGAACTTTGTGAAAAGATTGGTTTTACTGGCTGGGCGAGGATATGTTACGTTTTACTCAGAGAGTCTTCTGAGTGAGCGATTAAATTGTCGTTTTCCAAGTACCCAAAGCTATCCAGAAGAATTCAAAAAAGTTTGTGAAAATGGCTTCAACGTCGTTTAAATATAATATTATGCAGGCCAGTAACCAAAACGGCGTCGGGTTATTTCGAAATAAGCTTACTTTTATGCGCTGCTGACTCACCTGGGCGTCGACGCTGCGTCGGTTGCTACGGCATCTATTTACATAACTGCTGAAAACTTTCAATCTTATTCACGCACTGACCGTTGAAGGGAGATCTCATTACTTGGTCTCCTTGTTTACCTTCCACCTACGGATTACTCTTCTAATAAGTAGCCCTTCCTAAGTCCACGTTCAGGATAACACGAAAGTGCTTTGAAGTCTCAGTTGAACGCAATAATTTGGTCGTTGGAAGTGGCAAAGGGGCGGATGATCTGCTCTAGCTACGCCCATACCATATGCGTAAACGTTAGCAATTTCAAAGCACAATGCAACCAGGCTTATTCTTTAGTTATTTAAAAGTTACCTACACCTTTGTAGACAAGTGTAATGCAGTTATTATTCTGTTACCAACTTAGAAATGGATTTTCTTTAAAGCTTTTTATAAAGTGAATGTAAGGAATAGACAATTTTATTTTTAGATGAAAATTTGGCGTATTTTTGCAGACTTTGTGTTTACTAAACCACACACACTATTACACGTGTGCTTTTAAAAATGACCCGTTTTGCCCTTATAGTTATTTTAAATAAGCATGAAATCGTAATATCTTCTGACTTAAATTACTAATAACATTATTTCATTTCAATTTATAAGAAAGGACTTTTCATCCATGAGTTTTTGATATGTGTAACGTGTTTGTTGCAAGTGACTTTAGCAGAAAAAGCAAAGCTGGCGTCATTTCTATTCCTCCATTGTCTCACGAAATGTCAATTATTATATTTGCATTTACTCACTTCATATTTCACACTTTATTCTTTTTTTTTATTAATAAGCCTCACTCCGTTGTGACAATGGATCCGCACATGGTGAGGGCGTTCTGCGCTGCTAACGAAGAGTCTCTCAGGATTTGGTGCTCTCTCCTTCGAATCATTCTTGTGAGCTTGTATTTTGTCCTGAGGCCTTGTAATGGTTACGTGAATCTCGGGCTACAACATATTGTTTCATGCGATTGTGGACTTTCCGAAAACTACGAATTTTACTGACTGTAGTTTAAAATGTCTATATATACATATTCCTTGATTTAGGGCTCGAAAATTGGGTACTTACCCAAAAGTTCCTTGTACTTTGACCGTGCTTTCGGTACTGCAACAGGTGAAAAATTTAATTGAAATATGCTTTCGGTAATCATAGGGGTATGTTTGAAAAGAGTAGAAGTTAGCTATCTGCATTCTGCCAGATCCGTTTTTGTAGTAAATAAAATGGACATGAATGGGTCAAAAGTGCGCCATAGCAACGCCCAAATAGAAGACGTACTGTAATTCAATATTAATGCTCCGGATTTCAATGTATCTTACGAAGTATCTGAAGAATGCGGGTTTTCTTTATTATAAGGGTGAATGTGCGTTTAAATGTCATTAGATTGACTTAAAAAAGAAACGAATGAATGTGCGTGCGTGTGCAGATGGGTCCGCGACTGTTGCAAAACTATCGCCAACGGTTGGCGGCATGCGCGTTGAATTACCAATTGCCCAGTGATTGCGCGGCTGACGATGAAGAGGGATTAGCAGCGCTGGAGGGGACGAGTGCGGAAGCGTCGGTCAACCACCTGGCAGAACTGGTGCGTCACAAGTACGCACGTGAGAGCAACGTCTACTCAGGCGCGGGGGTACGCGAGAGCGCTCGGCAATACGCCAAACTGCCAGCCATAGCACGCGCCCGCTCCGTTTCGCAGATCCAGGCGCAAATCGCCACTCACCAAGGCAGTCTCAGCTGCAGTCAATTCTCCCTCGGCCCAGCCGACAGGCTTGGCGCCAGCGTAGGCGATCTCGGCTTCGTCTCAGGTTAGTCGTTTCTTTGAAACCTTCTTTTATCCTTGGGCTACCACTGCAGAAGCGTGAAAAGTCATAGGGTTAGGTGTGTGGCAGACTTGGTAATAGTTGCAGGAATGTACTGTGAAGACCTGAGTGCATTTGACTAAATTTTACGAATAAGAATTCTAAGAAGTGAATCAAAATTAACCGCAGTGCTGTTCTTTCATTCAATAGCCAAATGCTGATTTCTGAGTATTCATCGTAAACTCCCAGCAATTTTTAGTGAAATTTTGCAAATCTCTGTGTAAGCCTAGAAATAGTTTTTCTCCTGGCTTATGCTACGGGAAAGCGCTTGTTTCATATTATGAGTAAAAGAAATTCGGGCGGTTCAATTCAGAATGGAGACTTTGCTGCTTTAGCGTGACTGTCATCCAGAACGTGAAATATCGCTGTCATGGGTGTAAAAATGGGTTCCTGAAGAAAAGATACATGAAGAGATTGATACTTTGTCAGTTATGGAGGTGATTCGTTCTACGAATAATGACTACCAACTTACAAAAGGGTTTCGTGAGAAAAAAGCAATTAACTTTTTAACTTGTATCCATTTCTCATTCCAATATTCAAAGATAGCTCTTTATAGAAACCAGCGATGTGATGAAAAGTGGTAAAATTTTTCCGCGATCACTAAGACACATTGTGGAATTCGGATCTTTTCAATTTATTATGATGCAAAACTGTTAATTTAGCAAGGCTAAATAGATTAGTTACCAGAAGGTTGTTAGCTATTGTAAAGCGCATAAATGGAATCAGATGCCTTCAATTATAGAATTATCATCAGTAAGAGAACCTAGCGTTATTTCTAATTCGCCTTTATTTTTATAGTTGTAAGCCAAAATACTATTCGCTAGAAAAATTCTTTTCCGATCGTTCTCTCTCTTCCTTTCAATGAGCTAATATTTAAAATGCCTAAATGGATTTATGTGATTGTTTTTGCAGACATGATGCATAGTACCTAAAATTTTAATTAATGAATTGATACATTTGCACTGCCTTTCAGGGAGAACTGATGTAGGAAGAACATCAAGTATGAATGAACTATGTGTTGACGAGCGCAGAGCTACAACTTCCAGCACTCAGAGTCTGAACGCCAGTCAGCGCTTGACCTGCCTCTTCAACCCACTGCGGTGGTCCCGTCGAAACGTCAACGAGGCAACAACGCCGCAGCCAATGCGCATAAGTACCGCTCGGAAGGGACCCGCTGCGCGGAAATGCAACCGGTCCAGTAGCAGCCTTTACCGGCCTCCCTCCATATCGCCTTCTTCCTCCGTCTTCTTCCTACAAAATGCTGAAGACTCGAGCGCCCGTGTCTCGGCTGCCGTGGAAGAAGAGCAGCTGAACTCAATGAACCAGCGACAGCAGCAGCTAGAAGTGCAACAATTGCAACCTCAGCAGCTGCCCACGTTAATGTATCCGAGTCAGCGGCGACAGACTACAGCGCCGCAGACACCTCATTCGCCGCGACACTTTGGCCCATTTGCGGGCATTCGACCACAACTCCTCCCCTCTCAACTCTCACCTGCAGCTCTTTGAAAGGTGTATCACTTATATTTCGTCCCTTCTTCGTCCCTCACCTTGTACAGAACGAAAATAGAGTCACTTGCTCAAGCATATCACCAATGATCATTTGGTTATTTTAGAGAATTGTATGTGCTTTGTTGGAAGATACTCATTAACTATTGAATATAAGGATTATGTTGTACATAATGTGTTTCGTCGGATAAGGTCAAACTTTATTATGCCAGATTAGTGATCTTTCTAAAAAGTGCTAAAAAGTCAGTTTTTTGAAGTTGATTTAGAGCCAGTCAATCGGTATGAGCAGAAATACACTCGCGTTGTTATTTAAATAATAAATGTAGCAATTTATCCATTCTACTTCGTACTTATTAGTATTTTTGAATTGCTTTAAATAGTCGTTTCTCTTTAATGCCCCACCGAAAATCTTAAAGGTGGATTTATTCGAATAACCAGGAGAGAAAATCGGGATCTAGCGAAAGCTTATGTGCATTACGAAAACTGCAATTTACTAAATTTTGATGAGAGTTGGCTTCAAAGGATGTAACATGAATGAGTGACTGTAAAAATCACGCTTTTTATTCAAGCCCATTAAAGACAAAAAAAGCACACTGATAACTATTTCTAACTCTCGGAAATTTTAATTGGAAATAAACTAGTTTGTAACGATCAGAAAAGTTGTTCCTCATTATCATACCATTTGGATAACAATGTAGAACATCCCGTCCTTGCCTTTTGTCTTGCATCTTTGACGAAAAGCACGCCCTAACTGGGATAATTGGGCACAATTGTGCTACAGCATCTCCCCCTGTCTCCCCACCCATCATGCGCGGAACTCGAGAGTACTTTTTGAAGGCATCGAAAACCACCGCCAAACATAATTTACTTGAACTATTAGCAGCAAAGTGCTGCCTCTTCAACCTACATTAATTTTGCCACTGACAAGGTATAAGGGCGATTTCATTTCATTCAAAGCTACAGCTTTGTCAAGAGGAAGTTGAAAATGTATATTCTCTCTTCTCACTATAGTGTTGTGGTGGTTTTAAGGGCCCAAAATTCTGATAAATCAACTGGTACTAAACTGGTAATAATAGACACGCTTTGATAAGTATGTGCGGTTGACATGCATCTTGAGAATTAAAAAGTACGCCGAACTCAAGCACTTTTCTTACCACTATTTGAAAAGCGCTGCTTCGTAAATAATTTAAAGTAACCAGGAGAGAAATACAGGAACAAGTTTACAAACCCTGAAGTATTACAGTGTTACAGTGGATGCTGTGGATGAACTCACCAGATAAATAATATTTGTCTCGTGTGAGCGAAAATGACTCGTGCGAAAAGTACTTGAAAGAAAAGTGAAAGGGAAGGTATTCAACCTATCCACAAATGTTACACCTATGCATAAAAAATGTTTACGATTTTTTGACTTGATGCGATGTCAAAATACCCATATTCAGATTTGCTAAGTCTAAGAAGGACTTAAGTTGGATCAATGAGTTCGTAAAGCCGTGGTCTATACAGCCCCTGTGGCTTTTTATCTAAGGTATGGCAAAAAAATCTAGCCAAGAAATAGCAATTCATGCACCCGTTATTGTTCCTAAGACATTCATCGGGCACTTCGACATTTCCCTCCTGCAGCACTTTTTGCTTTTTTCACAACCAATAGGGGTTTTCAAACAGTTCGTGCATGGTTAACCAGTTACTTACTACGTAAACTTATTTTTTTCACCTCAAAAGAGCTCTAGACTCGCTGAACAGCTAATGTACTAGACTAAAATAATTCCTAAAAATTACTTTAAATACATGCGTAATTGTAAAACCCAAAAATTTAAACTCTGCCTAAATTCTCGCAAATGGTTTGAATTAAGCCTCGCGTTTCTAGGCCGAGCCACAGCCCCCAATTCTTACCCACACGTTGTTCACTATGGTATGTCATCCCCGGTATCACCAGTAAGCATGTGACGTGTATGATTATACACTCAAATAAAGAAAAAGTTGGGATTTGTCGCTAAAAATAATAGCCAATATGACAGGGATTTCATTGCGTTCCTAAAATAGGTATCCATAAGAGTTGCATAAAACGTGAATTTATAAGCATGCCCAGGGCAATAAAGTGGTCCAACTCTATTGGTTGTAATGTTGTGGTCACGTTTACATCTCTATAAAAAAATTATAAGATTACTAAATAAAGATAATTTCTGGTCCTTGAAACCCTTTATTAGTAAATTATTTGAATAGGTTTGCTTTGAATGACATAGAGACACATCAGTGAGGTTGTATCTTAAATGGTTTGTCTTTCGCACATCCTTGCGCCCGACCCAGATTAACTGTGGACGAAGACTTATCAGCCTCACTGAAAATTAGGAGACATCGTTAGGCAATCGTCGGAAGAGGCACTACATGGCGTATTATTACAATAATGTGGAGAATGGATACCTCAGTTTTGCATTTTGTTGTGTGCCACCTTAAGGTGGTAGTTTACAGCTTAAAGTGCTTCACTTTCAGATAACACTGGATAATCGGATGCACATCTCAAAAGCACATTAACTATACACGCGGGGTGTAGACCTACAGCTATCTACGTACTCCTGTCCTGCTTGTACTTGCGGTGTATAAACAACGGATTCGCATCTCTTTGTCTTAACAGAATTGTATTGTGTGCGATTTCCCTCTCACTCAAAAAACTTATTATGTAATAATACCGAGGATCCGCCAAAAAGGCAACTTCAGCTACTATTATGCTTAGAGGCATGAAGGAGGACCTCTGAGTATTATAAAAAGCGTAAACCCTGGCGTGAAGAACACGAAAAAGAGGAAAATATAGGTGCTAATGAGATCTCGAAACATGTGGTCTGCATAAAGTCACACATGAAAGGAAGGCTAAAGCATAATTTCCAAACTTTATTCATGTTTATAACGCTGCGTACAGCATCCAACAGCAAACACCGAATGTTCCAGAAAGAAGAAACACTATCATCCATGAATTTGAGACAGACTCTTTAAAGCATCGGAGTATCATAAAGTCGTTCTTTTTTCAAGTTATGCAGAGAATGACCCCAGTGGAAGTAGATACTGCCCGCATCGGCCTCTATCATCCCTTAGCATTCTTCTATCCACATTCCTCCGTGTTCATGTTTGCTGAAATAGTTAACCTTGTAAAATAACTCATTTTCCACGAGTTAAGTTGGCTTATATTGAACAGGCCATGAAAATATCGAAAGGCGAAACGGAGAAAATCCAAGAGGTGGATTGTCCGTGACCACCTTAGAAAATAACACTTTGGTGTGACATACACAGCCATGCTTCATATTTGTTGCTGAAAATATTCTTCAATTGTTCTGATTCACTAAATTCTACACTATTTTCTCGCGGAAACTAGTCTTTGTGCTCATACCGCCTGCTTTCAAATCACAAATCATTTACTTTCATGATAAGATGACTAGTCAGGTTAAACTGTATGAATGAAGGGGACTTGGAAAAACCTTGGGAGCAATTTAGTGATCTGATCTAGGTGAGGACATACCTTATGAGGTAGTCCAAAACAAAGCGACCCTTTCCTGGCGAAAAAAAAACAGCTATTTCTGCATTGGAATTATCTCATAGACACTATGGCTTAAAATAACTGAGCATGAAGAACTTATGGAACGAGTGAGGTCTTTTGGAAAACAGACGTAAGATAGTACACCGCTGAAATTCACAATTGAAAGGAGACTCTCCTTGTGTCGTCCTTGATGAGAAAAAGTCTCGAACTCAAGGCAAGAATGTTGGTAGTGGTGATCTTTTAGTTGAATACGTTTTGCTACGTGAACAAATTGTCACAACTCCATTATCGTGTCTGGAGTGCTTTTAGCAGCCATACCAAGTGAGATCACGTTTATGCCTTCCTGGCGTATAGCTACCCCTCCCCCTTTTCCCCTTCTATCCCCATGAGTTCGAATAATCCCTGCTCCCGGCCACCTCATTTATGCATCAAGTGAGAAACAGTTGATAGACGCGTCGGAGCCCCTACCTTAGCATTTTCAGGTGAGTAATTAATTTGTGAGAAACCAAATTACCGTCATTCTTGTTTACAGCATTCAACCACTTTTCAATCTTACAAAGTGTCATTCGGTTATTTTTCTCAGGAAATTTGAGCTCATGCTCAGCATGAGCTCAGTGAACTCGGAGAGGGAGTTCAGAGAGCGGGAGAGAGAGTATGGTATTGTGCAGAATCACTTAGACAGCACTGTGATACGAAGCATTAAAACCCATGAAATATACCACACTTCTATATCCAAAACGAGGACTGTTTCACACATGTTATAGCAGAAGAATATCCATTACACTGCAGGAAACTATTCTGGGGCAATTATTTCATCTTATCAAACACGAGAGTCTCGCATCAATGCTATTGACTCCAATCAGTTCCCCCAAGTGCTCAGAAATACCCACAATCCTGGCATAAACGTCTAATTTTCCCGTGTTGACAGTCAGTTTATTCTACAAAATCCCTGAATTGCAACTCTTTTTATCAACAAAAACAAAACAGGAGGACTTTTAATAAGAATAGGAACCAGGAGATAGTGTGTATCAAATTATGTCTACCTGCGCTGTTGAATTCAGACAAAGGGAAAGGTGGAACGTAGGTAAAAAGTAAAAATAAGAAATACGCAGGGGCACAAGAATGGAAAGGGACCGTTTCAGTTGCACGTTCATGCAGAAACAATAGGTGGAAAGGGAGGCAAAATAAGGGAATCAAGGGCAACTGAGAGGTGGTGGATGGGTGAATGCAACGATAAATAGATGCATATGTTGAACATTTATTACAACATTTACGGTCAGACCGAAACTGAAGCTGAGGTAGACCCTGCAGTGGTGGCCGATGTCGCTTCTGCTGTAGCTTCCTCTGCATCATCATCGCCGGCACCTTCCTCTCCCCTCACCCCGCAGCTGCCCTGGGTGTCCGCATATACATAGGTGGGCTCCGTTCGACCTAATATCACGTCTTCGTCGATTATCACCTCAGAGATACCAGAGCCAGGCACGTCGTATCGCGGCTGCAGTAGCACCTTCTCCTAGATGATAAAGGAGGCACATTGATAGATACGAACGTCTCTCAAGTCCAAAAGGCAAGCTATATTTGGCCACGTGGATTTGCCGTCAAAATGAGCATAAAAATTGGAATTGGGAACTAACCATAATGGCACGAAGGCCACGGGCTCCTGTTTTCATCATCATGGCCTGGCGTGCGATGGCCCGCAACGCATCTTCGGTGACGGTTAGGGTACACTGGAAAAAAGTGATCTACAACGTGTTGATGCACTTCGCTTGTATATACGCAGTCTTTCAAGATTAAGGTAAAAAGATGTATTAACAATACACTTTAGTATTTATTCAAATTATTTTAATCATTCAAAGCTGCTGATGATGATTGCGACGTCGAAATGGGGGTGAGGAATACATACTTTGACTCAGTATATTTGATAGGGAGTAGTGATTTGTCAAATATTGTCACGAGGAATCTAAAGGTAGGCTGAAGAAGTTACAGTTTTTACACATAGAATATACCTGTAATTACGGAATTTGCTCAACATCCTGCTTCTGGACTGATAATACCAGAACCAAGAGGCAACGCACCAATCACAACATTTAGATCAATCACACGAAAATAGTTTAAAATTCCTCTGGTTCGTGGTGCCAATTCATCAACCAACCTGATACACCGGACATTTTCCTCGTTACTGTGGCATCCCAGCCCCTGTTCGTGCAGGCGCCACTCGAACAGTGACCAAATACTGTAGATCCATTTACCTGCCTTTTCATTTGTTTTTAAGATCAAGCTCAAAATTACTGCCCAAAGAAACTATTCAAAAACATTAAATTTTTACCAGTATGAGCCAATCAAAGCAGTAATCATGAAGATGCCAAGCAATTTTGTTTTTTTTCCGATGTAAAATACTAAAGAGATAGCGTTTCAATGGTAGTCAAATAGCGAGAGACATAAAAGTCAAAATTAAGGGAGTTCCGCCGAGATTGTATGTATCAGTCATCCAATCAAACTCAAATTATCGGGCAAAAACTTATTTTTACAAAAAGCGTCATTGAGAAAAAGTTAAAAAAGTCCTAAGATGCAAGTGATAAAAAAGCAGTGTATGTTACCCCAGTTAAACGATTGAGGATAACGATATGCGAATAACTAGAACTTGAGAGAAGCAATGAGACACCTTGTCAATTTGGAATAAGAGTTTGTATTGGAGGAGTAGGGCGTTGCGTGGCTCGGTGAGGATGCGAGTGAGCATGTGCTCGCTGAGCGCGTGGAAGGCAGTGATGATTGGGAAGCGGCCGACGAATTCGGGGATGATACCGAATTCAATGAGATCACGCGCCTCCACCTGAGCCAATAGGCGGTCCGTCTCCAGCATCTCCTCATCACCATCCTCCACCACCGTCCCAGCGCCCGCACCGATACTATCGGCAGAGAATGTCGGTGTCAAAGTCTGCTCCTCTTCCACATCACCAAAACCGATCCGCTGCAAAGTCAAAGGGCACAGCGATGAACAAATCAGCCTTCTGGACTGTAATTTTCTCCTCTCCCAAAACTATAGTTAACGGTAGCTCCAGTCAAAGACAACACCCTTTCGTCAGTTTGTATGGTGAGAAGATGAACAAATAAGTCTCAGACTATCACTTCACCCTTCACTTCTTTCAATGTACAAAAACGCACCACTCCACTTGCAACGATAAATAGCTTTTGCACTCTCATGTTAAACAAACGACCATATCTTTGGTTATCCA